CCAGTGGTGGGGGGTTAGACTAAATGATCTATTCAGGTCCCTTCTGACCCCTAACTACTATGAAACACACACATATTCATACACACACACACACACACACACACACGTGTGTGTGTATAAAATGTATATTTTATACATAAAATATAAAATGTGTATGTATGTGTGTGCATGCACGCATGTGCATTTGCACATGCATGTGTGTATATAGTTATGTATGTAAATTATATGGAAAGTAGTGACAAGTGGCTGACAAGATTTGAGAAAGTATTATATTGTTAGTCAAGACTGTGAGAAACTACAGAAAACATACATCTAGGCCTATAGGCAAGACAATGGGAATAAAGGGAATAAAACTTCTGAACAGTATATGAGGGTGGTTTAAATAATAACTACAGTGACACGATGACTAAGTATTTGAAAATAAAATATCTAGATTTTCAGGAAATTGTAGAAAATCTTGGACAGATACTTATTACATAATGCAAAATCAAAATGTTGCTACATAAGTGGCTAGACTGAGCCCAGGCAATGTTTAAATTGTCAGACCTATAACCAAACTTTTAGGTCAGGAAGCAACAGTTCAGGGTTCTGCATTTATACCTCCAGTGAACTCTCCTACCTTTTAGACATCAAAAAACTTAAAGGAAAAAATTACTCAAATCAGTAGCTTCCTGAAAATTGCAATCAAAATGAAGTTGTCAAAAATAAAGGCTACCTAGAATATGATAGTCATGCATAACTTCCTCCAGGGAAGACAGATTGCCACAAATAATAAAGAACTTCATGATGAACAGCTATTAACAAAATTTTCCCTTTTCATTTTTCCTTACACTTCTTCTATGATGTATGATTCTACTGTTGTAGTTTTTGTTGACAACTAGAGACAAACACAGCCTCTGTAGCTAACCTGAGACAGTTCACACACTGGAGATACAGGTACCAAACATTTCTGTTTTTCAAACAAGAAAGCCCATCAATACAAATGGATAGCTTTTAAGATAAGAATTTCAGAATATACTTCAATGATTGATTGCTTTCCATCAACATGTTACAAGTATAATTTTCTTGAAATGCTTCAGTCCAACAACCTTAAAATGTATGTTGGCTCTTAAAATGATGTCTACTGACCCAGATATAAATGAAATGTTAGAGGAAGGTTGATATAAGTATTGTACTAAACATGAAGACTGGGAGTGATGTGTGGTGAGTAGACAGGGTAAAACAGAAATAGGCTAGTCTCTCAAACATCTACAAAATATGATGCTACCAGTCATTGCCCATTTCAAATATGTGGAAACAGATATTGACATCATTTTGTAGGTAATTATGAAATACTGATTTTCTCAGATAAATTCAAACACAGGCAAGGAGCAATATTACAAACTGTCACAACTTTTAGCTTAGTTCACATTAGAAAATATTTTCATTTTTGCTTTATCAATTAAACTGATTTGTAATAACCCTCACTATTTGTGTGTGTGTGTGTGTGTGTGTGTGTGTGTGTGTGTGTGTGTGTGCGCGCGCGCATCTCATCTGGCGTAACACTATACACATTCTTACAACCACCAAAATCTTATTATGTCATCAAAGAAAAAACCCAGAGAATTCTAACAACTTTTTACCCATGATGACAGAGTTGCTTACACAGTACACTAAAGATCATTCTAATTGTACTTTCAAACATCTAGAAGATCAACCACAGAAAGTAGACAATGACCAGTAAATCTATAAACTCATGCATTTCTGATTTACCTTTAACATCTCATTAAAATAATCTGATTATAGTGAAAAATGGGATCAGGCAATCACTGCATTCCATTACAGTACATTGTTGTACAGAATTATTGACAAAGAATTAAGTTTTGAGATAGGACCAAATGGAATATTAATAAGTTAAACAGAAGACCATGGATTAATGTCATTGCCTTCTGAATTTGGCAAATAAATAATAAAACCATACAAACACGTCTTCTGAAAATAATTCTAGTCAATGTCATTCTTTTGAATAAAAGATAATACCTGAATGAAATGGCTTGCGCCACTGAGACCCCTTGCACATGGTATAGTTATGGTGAGAGTAAAGAGTTAATCGTGCTGTAAGTGGTAACAGAGCTACACATGCAGCAGATTTACAGCACCATAGAGGTAAACTAGCCACAAAGATATTCCACAACATATATGGAACATCTTTGTGGTTCATTTGCAAGACACCATAAATTGAACATGTAGCTCCACAGGATCTGAGGCTGTCCCAAGGCTGATGCCAACAATCAGCTGACAACCCTAGGTCTCAAATCAGATATCTGGTATGGCAGGAGGTGTAATGTTTAGGAGGGTGTCACGGAGTGGGGCCTAGGAGTGGCCGTGATCCCGCTAGCACCCCCCTGTCGTGCCAATTAGGAGATCCAGCACCCTCTTATTCTCACCCGCCACGTCTTTGATCTTATATAATTTTATATGGGAGGCTGCCTTTGATCTCCTTGTATCTATGGGTAACTTGGTGCACCCCCAGCCTTATGGGCTATGCGTGCCTCCTACCTCCCCTTTAGCACGCCCCAAGCCTCGCAGCCGTCCCGGACGTTCTTATGTCTATAAGACCTTGGATGGTCCCTCGCCCTCTCTGGGCTGGTCCTGCCCTCTCTGGGCCCTGTCTCGCACAACCTGTCCTCTCCGACCTTGTACCCGTGCGATCGCCCTCCTTCAGGCAATTAATGGCACCAGCCCTGTCCCAGGCCTTCACCTGCGCCCGCCCTACTTCGGCTACAACGCTGGTCCCTGCCCTTCTCGGGGCTCCCTGGTGTACTCGCCCTTCTCCGAGCGTTACCCACGCTTCCCGCGCCCCTGGCGCTATTGCCCTGCTGTGGGCTCTGTCCCGCGCCCCTGGCGCCCGTGGCTCTAATTGAGCCAGTCCCATGCTACTCGCGTCCGTGGCTCTCACTGAGCCTGCATGCCAGCCCTGTCTCGGGCTTTTACCGGCGCCAGGGCTCAGGTGGCACGCAGCTGTGCCTGGCCCCCTGACCCTTCTCGGGGTCCTATGCCC